CTCAAACATCCATTGTTAAAACCGACCTATTTCAGAGCGCCAAATTCTAGTCTGATGGGCAAATTCAACAAGTTGAGGGAACGAAGATTCCCAGAAATGGCATTTATTGCCCACTTTGGTGAATTTTCTGCCGTTCCTTCTTAATGATAAATCATTCAGATGCACAGCAATTATTAAAATGAAGTGAAACTTAGGTTCAGGAATCCCAATTCGTGCCTGAAGGCTGTTTGTTAAACGAAATGTTCACGAACCGAAGCAGTTTTTCCCTTAATAATTAATGTAAAATGTATTAATTCGTTCCTGTGCCATAAATGATTGTTTATTTAAACTTTAAAACAACAGTTTGTGCACTATTTCATAACCCAAAACCAATAAAAAACATTAATTATAAAGAAAAATAAAAACACAGTATTAAACAAACAAAACAGACGAAAGCTCAATTTAATTTAACTGTATCTGTGCGAAAGGGAATGGGCGGTACAAATGGGATGATGAGGAAGATGGTCTTGTTCGGATGGAAAAATCCCTTCTTCAGAAAACATCAGGTAACTTTTTTAGGAATTTTTAGGGGGTATATTCTTTTGCCTTTTCTTTGTCTCTAAGTGCCATTCGACTCTAAGACTCACTGAGCTCAGTTTCACTCAAAATTTATTTGTTGATTCCCTGTGTTTTAAAATGTTTCTAACGCGAAATGTGCCATTGTCATTGAAACTACTTATGTGCACGTTATTGTTTTACCAGAGTGATATAGATATTTAGAAACCTTGAATCTTACCCCTTTTTGAATAAATATTATAAAACAGAGAACTAGGATGATTTTTTTTCTTTCTCTCTACTGAAGACTTTTCTTCCTCGATCGGCAGTACAGTAGTTACAGTTTCTGAAATTTGTTGGTTGTAGTTCTTTCTTGATGATCTTATTTTTATGCTCCCTCCACGCAGTCATTATTAACTTCTTAGCCCCCTAATTTACTTACAGATACAGTATCATAAATAACAAATAAATCTAAGTGCCAGAGCGGTCTCTGCTTACTACCCAATTCTAGCATAATTTCCTCCAGGTCGAATGCATGATCATGTAAGCTAATTGCTGCCAGTTTCGTTATATTTGCTAATTGTTGCTAGTTTCGTTAATAAGAATAAGCAATGGAAAATGTTAAAATGATGTTTCCAGAAGTCCACGAGTGTTAAATATGAGACATAGGTTATTCAAAACACTTTTGAAAAACATATATTGTGGACTTAGATGTTCGTAACTCGAGACACTGTTCTCCCTCCGAGGCGTTTTTTGTTCAGATATTTGCTCGTGAACTGAATGGTTCATGTAGTATAAGGCATTCATCGTCTGAGTTTTTACTGTACCATAAAGTGCAAAGAACATAAAAGTAATTCATACTAATTATTAAACATCTATACTTATCAGCCTATTTTGCTGTAAAGAAGCGAAGCCACTGCGGATATATAACACCAGAGACAACTTTCAGAACAAAATTCTACGAAATTCTTTGTGATTTCCGCATTATTATTTAGTTTTCTACAATTAAATGTTATTTTTCTTCTCATTTTGGTTGAGATAAGTGTATCACTAGACATTACTTAAGCAGGCTCTAGAAAGAAGTAAAATAATGTTTAGTTTTTTTAGGTAATTAGACTTTATTTAGTTTAACCCACTGCGGGATACTGAATTGATCAAATCGTATGGTTAAAGTACTTAAAACAGCCATTTTACAACATGGAATAGAGTTTGACGTAAAATTTGGTGGAATGGGAAGCAAAGTGTAAAAAACAGCAAACTTCTTTAGACATGTTTGAAAATTATTTTTAATAACAAGAAAGTTTCTGGTATGAAGATGCGAAGATTTTCACTTTGAGATATAATAACTCCGTTTCAGATTTCAGGTGACAGAATATTAATTTCTACTAACTCATATTTCATAAAAGTCTGATTAAATTAGAAGTTCTCACAAACTTAATACCAACACAGTAAAAAGTAATTTTCCGCTACAGGTGTCATATCTGCTTGGCCTTTTAATACATTTACTGATGAGCAGGTGCATGAAGAATACGATTTAATATTATCTATTCTGCAACTGTATCCAAATGCCGTCTATGCCTTCATAAATCCTATTTAATTTTGAATATTTCTTATCAGGAATGTACTGGAGAGAAAAGCAACGAAATTGTAATTTAATAAAATTAAATTTAGGAGGGATTTCGATCTTATTTAATTAAAAGAGAAATACAAATGGATATTATTAAAATAAATGTTCACTTTTAGATTGTAGCATATTTACATCAAATCAAATCAGACATTAATTATGAGTACTAAATGATGAGTTATGACTTAGCTGCCAGTTTGAACAAGACTGGAATCTTCGATAGTTCTGAGAACTGGAACAGATAGTCTCTCTGCAATTCAAGCTTTATCGATGATGATCATCTCATTCGCTGTCCTGTTTGAACATGAGATGTTAATGGCGAGCTCGAGATCGCAAGAGATTTTTTTTAACAGTGCTTTAAAATTTTAATTTTTGTTTTTTAAACTTTTTTTTTTGTATAAATTCTGATTCTGCGATAAAATTCTATTTGTACATCTATACGATGTATTTCATTTATATCGTATTGCCTAAAGAGTAATTTCCAAGAGCTTACGGGGCATTGAAAATATTTTTTTAAAATTATTAATTGATTAGAAAATAGTTCAATCAAAATTTCAGAGAGATTGCATTCTAATGGGTTTATTGTAATTTTGGTTTAATCCATCCCTAAAAAAGGTAAAGATAGGCTTTAGCATTTGTTCCAAGGAAGTCTCAAATATCTGTCGATGGATTTAGTTGATGATCTACATTTCATATATGCTTATCTATTACATAATTTACAAATGAAAATATCTTACAACTAAATTATTTTTAAAGAGAGGTTATAAGTCTGAAAATTTTAGAAACACTTCGAGTTTCGATATTTCATGGGCGAAAAAAAGCTTATTTTATTTTTTAGAACGTTTCAAACGTTTCATATATGCATAAATTTCCACATGTTTATTTAATAAAATTTACTATAATGTGTCGCAGTGTAACTGTCATAATTTATTTATATTGTATAAGTACCAAAAATAACGAACTTTTTGTCCGTAATAATTTCATATAAAGCATAGATACATATAAAAATATTACCCTAAAAATGTGTAATGTTTTTATGCATAGAAAATTAAGAGAATTGAAAGATACATATTTTCAAAAGTCGAAAAACAAGTGAATGGATATTATATTCATACTAATTAATTAATTAAGTTATAACAAAACAAGCAATTCAATTAACTTAAAAGATAAAAACTTATTAAAACTTATTAATCAAAACAAAAGATTTGAATTTAATATAATAGTTTAATGTTAAGTAGAAAGTTAGTAACCTTTGGCTAAGATTAACAAGTTTTAATTTATAAATTATATAAGGTGTTTTATCCCTCCTCTCCGCATGCCCTCCTGGTATAACTGGAAGTACGCTCCAGTTATATTTCGTATTCGGAAGGACCGGAATTTGAATCCTGGAGACAGAGTTGCCCATTTTTCACGTTCCTGCATCGATGTAAGCTAACTTCTCTACAATAGCGCTCGAACTAAAAGGTAGTGGACTATTATGTGTCACCACTAGGCTCTGGCGATTGGGTTCCATCATCCCCAGTCGCCCTATAAAACGTTAAATAGTATATAAGGCATTTTCTTCTTCCTTTTGGCATGTTTTCGTGGCGTAAATATTAACATACTCGAGGATTATTCATGAGGTCTGAACTTAACTCCCCGCAAGGGCATTGCGGATAACTTTAATTTTAGAACATCAAAAAATTCTACAGTTAAAATAAAATGTAGCAAATACAACATTAGTAAAGCTGCTTTATCGCTTTTAGACTCAAACTTTATCAAGAGGTCGTAGGATAGAACACCGATACTATCTCTTTATCTGGATAGTAGACATGTTTCTATTCATCTCAAATTTGCAGAAGTATCGAAATTAATTATTTTAAAACTTATTTGTACCTGTGAAAATTAAAGACGCCACTCCTACATACCCAGCCTGTCAAAACTAAAAAACAAGTGAAATCAATATCCAAATAGAAATTCAACGTATCAAAAATTCCAGTCAATAAGGAAAAAATGGTCTAAATACCCAAAAACATATTTACATACATACATGTTGCAGAGTCATTAATTTTTTTTTTTTAAAGGAGACGTGAAAATTGTGCAATTTCCTCGTAAGAACTCGAACTTGGACATCTCTAATACGCGCTGAGTGTGCTACCATTACACCCCGAAGGCATGCTGGGAGGAGGAAGAAAATAACTTATATACTCCATGCTGTGGGTTCTCTTCATCATACGAGCAAAAATGTGCAATTTCCTCACCAGGACTCGAACCTGGACCTCTCGAATGCGCGCCGAGTGCGCTACTGTTACACCACGAAGGCATGTTGGAAAGAGGAAGAAAATTCATTTTATTTAAACAAATATAATCTTTATGTGTAAATTATCTAGAAGTATTTTCGGTTCAAACTGTGTATTATGATACATTTCAGCTATAAATAATTCGCAGAAAAAGATTCTTTTGATATCTTAAATCTCACCTAAACTTCGTTTACTAAATTTGAAAAAGATAAGGTAAAATTAAAATAAGGGAAATAAGAAAAACACGAATGTGATGATCAGCGCATAGTTTTATGTTCAGGATTTCATAAATATTTGCCATTATAAATACTTAGCTAATTTTAACAAAGGTGCTAGGGATCATTATACAATAAAATTACATACTATTTACAATGATTCCTCACAAGTTCAAAAAAATTAATATTTTATAAAAATGCGGGTACCAAATCGAACAAAATTTCACAATTTATGTAACTTTTAATGAGGTCTGGTTATTTCAGTTCATCAAAATTCCACTTATTTCAATTTTTCTAAAATATTTTTGTCACGAACTAAAATGCTGTATGAAAGGAAGTAGACTTTACTTAGAGATAAACGAATTTATTAATAAGGAGTCACGGTTCTCTGCGGTCCATCGAGTAAACGAGGTTCTGCTGCACTTGAAAAGTCATGAAGTTCCATCTTATTTTGACACAAATATTGCAAAAAAATATTGGTCTTTTTTTATTTTAATGCCTATTGGTATCCTGTTATTGGATCTAACTTAGAATATATTCGCAAAAGTCATTGGGACATTTTTTTCCATAGAACATTTCCTAAAGAAATCCAAAAATGTTCTGAATTATGTTTGTCTTCAAGAATCTGTGTCATCAAAAATTTCTTCTTGGATTAATGCTGATTTCCAAACTTCAGATTTCCAGTCGCCATCTGTAAATAGAAATAAAAATTATCATCAATAATATATATATATATATACATCTAAAGCGTAATTAACTGAACAGTTGTAAATTAGATCTTATAATAACAATGTAAAATACATGAGGAAAAAAACTTGCGTAAATTTGGCTTATTCAAATCACTTCTTCTCAGCCAATACAGATTTATATTCCTACACCTTGAAAACCTAATATGCATGTAATTGGACCTAATATGCATGCAATTGGAGTGATTTATATTGAGGAATTATCAGCTAACAGTTCGGCCGACCTGTTTGCATAGTAGCAATAAAGCCGGCTACTATAGCTTTAACATCGCACTCGGGTTCCGGAGAAGACATGGATATTTGTTAGTATCTTTGCGGAACGATGAGACTTAAAATACTGTGATTCCGAAAATCCTCAAGAATGGTTTATGGTAGTGAAAGAGAAATGGATCCGTCCTCCAACCCCCGGGAAATTCTCCATCAAAATTTGGTCGCAGCTTCCGTTTTATAGTAGCTGCAAAATCGGCCACTACTTATGATAAACTCTGAACTATGTTTTGGGTGATGAGAAGGCTAAAGAACGGATAAGTTCTGTCATACTTTCCAAAGGATGCTTTAAAAACAAGTATAAGATTAGTAGGAAAAAATATTATTTAAGTAACAGTATTTCCTTAATTTTTCAGTTGACATAAATGAGTTTTCGTGTATATTTTATTGTGATATTTAAAGCAAACTGTAAATTTTCATTTTATATGATGAAAAGTAATACAGTGGTACATCGGCATACGTCGTTCATTTGTTCTAAATCCTTGAACAAACAAAATTTTCCTACAAGAAAAAAAGGGAAAATAATTAATCCGGTTCTTATGAAAAAATTCCATTGTTTTATTATAAAATTGTTTATATATCACTGAAATATAATAAGTTCTTTGAGTATCAGCATTGGTTCGTAATCCCTTCTATTCGCGGAAATATTTGGCTTAACTAGAATTGCCGGTTTGGCTTTACCTTATAACTCTAGTAAAGACGAAACACCTTCGCATTTACGTATTTTTATTAGTTATTGTTCATTGAACGGGAATTGGTTTGTTCCCCTTGAAAAGTCAACTAATTTCCGATCAATGACAATGATTACATGTTTTTAAATTTAGTTTTTCCTTTTACAATTGAAATTTTGTTCTTCATGATGATTTAATTCCAGTCCCCGTTAAAACATTATTAACATTTTACTTTCAAGTTACTTCAAAACATCTTTCAAAATATAACTTACCAGTATGGATTCACTCTTTTAAAATAATTCTACTTTAATTAAACTTAGGAGATAATATAATCAATTAATCAATATTGTTTAGGAAATAAATTATTATTAACTAACTTTGCAGCAATTGCGCAAGTAGTAGTAACTTGTTTTCGCACTAAATGAATTTAAGATCATACAACATTATATATATATATATATATATATATATATACTATACTACACGCTCAAATTGCACGACAATTTGAGCGTGCTCTTTATTCAATAGCAAGTCGGAAGCAAGATCTGAAAAAAGCTGGTGGGCCACATTGTTTTTTACGTTTTAGTAAAATGCGACTTCTGAAGTAAAAAGGGTTAAATTAAATTTTTAATTTCGCTTAATATCCGTTTATTAAAAATACATGATAAAATATATGAATATGATTTTAATGATCCCCAAAAGGCTTAAGTTTTTTTAAGACCTCGCTAAGCTCCCAATCTTCCAGTCTGCTGTCTCACTCCCTACTGCTAAACCATTTCTTTTTAGCTTTTTAGCTTTATCATTTAACATCATTTTTGTAGCATGTACTCTATATACAATTTAACAGCAAAATTACAAAAATTTTAAAAGCATCATAGCAGCATATGTCTAAAAATCCCGATGCAGCACGTGTTTGCATATATTTTTCTATTTTTCAGTCCTTTCTCAGTTCATCATATCAGTGTCTAGTGTTTTTAGTAAGATGGCTTTCAAAACATTTCTTTGTCTTTTTATTATTAACGGTGTGTTAAATTTATTAATTAAGTAACATGATATTCGCACTTACGCCACATAAAATTAAATTCAACAGCAAAATCACAAAATATTTTAAAGCAGCATATTTTTACAAATTTTGCTGTGCAGTCGCGCGTATTGGAGATAAATATGTTTTATTCTGTACATTGTTTCCATTGCTCGCTTTCAAATCGTTGAGTTGAACCAAAAGCTCATTAAAGTTTTACAACATATGAAATATAAAATCCGAAATTTTGTTTGGTTGACGCTTTTGTTGGTTACCTATTGCATTCCATATATAATCACAGATAAATATTAAATTCTTAGACTGACATTTCTTTCAAATAAGTCTAACATATTTAATTGATCCTTAAATAAATTATTTTATATTAAATTAAAAATAAACAAATTACGAAAACTTTCCAAGTGGAACAAAACTTGAGAATAATTTTGACGACCTAGTTTGTTAATTTTTTTCTTTAATACATAAACTAAAATACACACGTTTCATGTAAAAAATTATAAATATTATAGGCAAATACAAAATTTGTTTGTATATTGCGTGTGCACTGGAGAAAATTACTAGAATCTGTCCTCATCACGGTTTGCAGATGCTCATCGGTCATTGGGGGTCTTTTTCTATTAATTTTCAACTCAAAATTTCGTGATTGAGTGTACTTATTTTTGAATTATAATTCGGATATAATACTATAAGAACAACAATATATAAAACTATAATAATAATAAAAAGTATAATTTGGATTCATTTAAGTCCGAATGATATCTCATTCTTCAGATATTTGAATATGGTTTATATCGCATTGCAAATTAGTTAGATCAACTTGTATATTTTCGGTGAATTAATCACGTTATATTTTATAATAATATAATGATGTAAACTCAGACTTCAAATAATTAACATCTTTAAATTTTCACAACACCATATTTACAGCAAATGAATTACTGGAGTATGTTCACGGCCCACATAAAATTATTTCGGGGGTTGCCAGGTGGCCAGTTTGAGACCAAGGATTTGTATACCGTGTCCAATAGCCAAGTCCCGGATGTGCATGCCTTGTTCATGTAATTAAACAATCTCCTTTATATAGATGACCTGTTTTCTCTATGGCGACCCTTTCTGGTGACTTTCTCTTTTGCCCATGGTGACCCTAACCATTTTCTTCATCGCTCTATTCTTCTCATTAACTTTCCGAAAACCCATTGTTAACGATTTAAAAACAATTATAAGAAAAAATACAAATTCAAGTAAAAACAGAGTTATAGGGCAGGCTCTTTACTCAATAGTAGGAGCAGAGGTACTGACACTCATGATTAGACAGGATTTATGGTTAGACTCATGTTTGATTCATGATCAAATTCATGGTCAGACAGAACGTCTATCACGTTGGACTTATTTCAAAGCGGATGTATTCAGACGTACATTGATGTGTTAATTATAGTCTTCCACAGTTTTAAAGCCAATGTCAAAATTAGCTGCACTTTTTGTGAAATTTTGATCATTAGTGTAGAAATACCAGTTTTTAAGTTCTTCTATTATAAGTTTAACTGAAAATCAAATCTTTCACAATGGCACACACTTTAAGCCGCATTAAAAAATATATCCTCTAAGTTCATTAAGTGGTTAAATATTTTCCACAAAACTTTTCGAATTACTTCATTTTTATTAAATCAGCAACAGTACATTGATTGGTAATTGCCTAAAATCATGTACTCTTTATCAAGGAAATTATCAAGTGCAAAACATACGTTTGTCTTTTCTATTATGAGTCTTTAATTGCTGCTAATTCATTAAAAGTTGGTTTAATTATTGCTAATATGATAATGCCTCTTTTGAAACAGAATTCGGAAAACACACTTGTAACATCAACAGAAATGCTTAAATTTATGCTCTCAGGTTCTTCCCATTTCTATTCCCATACAAATTTATTCCCAAGAATTTGGGAATAATACACAATATGCACTCATAATTAAAGTAACATAAAGCTTTGCGTTAGATTTTGTAATTATTTAGAAACTTAATACTTCGAAGCAAATTTCACAGACATCGGTAGGCGAGAAACCGGATACAAGAGATCCCTTAACAACTGAAATGATTGACAATAATTGCCAATTATACACGATTACGGTCAGAGATAGTGATTCCTATTTAAGTTCTGATTAATCGATTCAAGATATTCTAGAAAGCATTTACCCAAGGTAAGGCATGAAAGTTACGACCTGTTCACTAAAATTATAGTATCATGCGTGCTTCAACGAACGAAATTAAAGTCAGTTGGAGAAATTAAATTATGAAGTGTTTTCCTTGCAATTGTTATTGCATGAAACGGGTTTCAATTGATAAACACGAATGTTAGACATTATTGTCTTAACATAATTATAAAATATGGTACGCAAGAAATTCGTTGTATAAATGATTGTAAGTTATGCATAAATATAATAATTATACAAACTGGAGATGGCCAATTTAAGTGTTACATAAGAGAATCACTTTAAGATGTGAAGTGGTCGTACAGTATATTTAATTTAAGCAACATTTATACGCCTAGAACAAGAAAAAGATTTTATCTTAAGAAAATATCAAGTGCTATTTTTTAATTTATTTCATCTTTTCTTAAACTTATTTTTAATTAAATTAACTGATTATATAATTTTATTTTATAGAGATCTATTCTACATTATGCAATTATATTTTAATTATTTAAAAAATGTGTATATCTTAATGAAATAGTGTTATCACCTTCCATTTACTTGAAATTATATGTAGAAATAGATTCGCATATAAAAGATGGAAAACCTTAAAAATGCAAGCTTGCAACCGAATGAAATACAGAATGCCTTTTTGAATCATAAGATGTTTTAAGGGCTTAAATTATTACGCAAATTCTTTTCGCGCTCACGCAGTTTCATAAAGTGAATTTTCAGTTATCATGTTGATATATTCAGAAGGTCCTAAAAATAGGCATTAGAGAATC